ATTTCTTTTTGGCAGATACGTACATGCATGTAGCATATTTTGATCATTTTTACACTCTATCTGCTCCTTGCACCACCCTCCCCCCTTTTTTGTATTTTGTTAGGTGGGTTTCAAGGATGTTTAAAACATGAGCATAATTATAACAATTAATAGCTGACTCTTTGAATCAGATGTGTACTGAGTGCTTTCTGTATATATCATCACATTTAATCTTTTCTTTTTTTGTGGAACTGGGGATTGAACTCAGTTCCTTGCGCTTGCCAGGCAAGCACTTACTCTACTGAGCTATCTCCCCAGCCCCACATTTCATCCTTATAATAACTTTGTAAAGTAGATTCTATTAAATATCAGGAAACTGATACAGGGAAAGTTAATATAACCTGGAATAATATAGAGAACTTAACTCAGCTAGAATTCCTAGACCTAACTTGTGGCAATTATTTTGTATTTTTTCTTTATATTATGCAGTTCCGAAACTCTAGAGAGATTAATAATAGGTTGGGAGTTTCTCTTTCTTTCTTTCTCTTCTGTCTACCTTTCTGTCTCTGTTTCATACCCCTGTCCACTCCTTCATCCCCGTTTACAGTATTGATGATCAAATCTAGGGGCCCATGCTAGACAAGCACTCTACCATTAAGCTACATCATTAACCCAAGAAATATATTTTTCTTTTCTATATATTCCTTTTACACTAGTCATGTTTGGCATTTGAGTGCTTTGAAACAACTGAATTTGGTACTAAATGCATCTTGATGTAAACATTTTGTCCTGATGCTCATCCTTTGTTTGGTACTCAATACACCAGCTAGCATTTGTCATTGTCAGTTGCTTTGTGACTACCCTTTCTAGCCAAAACAATTTGTTTGTTACTCATATCTTGCCTCCTGGAACCAATCAACAATGAGTATACAGATTTACCATTGTAATTAGAAAGAAGGTATAAGAATACATTGGAACAGGGGTTACATACCCATTTATTTTGCTTGCCAGGCAAGCACTTATTCTACTGAGCTATCTCCCTGGGCCCATAAAGTGATATTCTAATGAGTGAAATTGTCCTATCAGTAGTAGAAATTCAGATTGAGTTATATATAATACACAAGTAATACACTTAACAGCACTTAGCCTAGTAAGTATTAGTCTTATTTTTAAGATTCTTTCTTCTGGTCAGAATCAGTTTGCTATTACCTAAAAATGTCTTCAGTTCTTGCCTGTATTCTTCTTTGACTTACTGAACATATGTTCTATTATTTATATGACCTTTGTGTATTGTTTATTTTTATAGTAATAGAGAACTGGAATCAGGTTTCTTTGTTTATTGACTGAGGAAAAAATTGCCTATTATTGGTGGTATACAATTGAAAATAGCAAATAGCAGTAGATTAGAGTACTATAATCCTTCCAAGTACAAAACAGGCTTGACCCACGTTAGCTTCTGAAATCAAATGGGATTGGGTATGGTCAGAGTGGTATGGCTGTAGACTAGAATACCATAATCCTAAGGCTGAAAAGTTTACATATATATGTATACATGTAATTATAGATTTTTTAGCAATTATAAGTTAACAGCAAAATTGAGAGGAAGATATACCCACATACCCCTACCACTGTACATGCAGCATGGATTAAAAATTAATTGGGGGCAGGGGGTGGGGAGATAGCTCAGCATTCTAAGCGCCTGCCTGGCAAGTACAAGGCTGGGTGGCACATGCCTGTAATCTCAGCACTGGGGAGACTGAGACAGGAGGTTCTCTATGAGTCCGAACTACATAGCAAGAACCTGTACGAAATACGTAATTTTTAAAAAATTATATAAAAAATAAATTGCCAGAAGCTGTATTTTTTAAGAAATAATTGCTAGCCATAAAGTATATTCTTAAGGAATATCATTCAGTTTTCATTAATGTATTTACAAAGCTTAATACTTTTTAAAGAAATAAATTTTATTGTTTATGTTAAAGGTAAACAGTGCACCATTAGGGAATACATATACTGAAGCAAATTAGCTTGCCATATCACATCAGTACTCTGTATAGTCGGTGGGGTGTTGAGATTGAACTCAGTGCTTTGCACATGCTAAACAAAAAAGCACTCTATTCCTCAACTGTGTCTCCAGTTACCTTGTTTGTTTTTGTGGCAGGAGCAACTAAAGTTTTCTTACTTAGCATAAATTTAAAGTATTTTTACTAATTATCTTAATATACATTAAATTTCTAGACTTACATTTCCTATACCTAGTAGATGTATTATTTTGTATCCTTTGGCCTATATCTCCCCACCCCGCCTGCTTTGTCTCTTCTCTCTTTGTATATATATATTTTTATTTTTATAGTATAAATTCACTTTTTCTAAGTGGCGTAGCTTACTTAGCATACTATCCTCCAGGCTCATCGATTTTGAACCAGATGGCAGGATCTCCTCTTTAAAGACTAAATAATAATTCTGTTTGTTTGTCTTTTGTGGTACCAGAGATCAAGCTCAGGACTTTGT